GGTAATTTTTCATCGGTTTATTAGTCAGGGTTCCAAAGAAGAACAGAACTGATAGAATAGACCACCCCCCCACACACACACTTTAATGATTCAGCTGACACCGAAATAGTAATAACAGTTGAATCACACCTGAGAGGCTAAAAGTCCAGCAATTGCTCAGTCCTCGAGGCTGAGTGTCTGGGCATTGTGAATCTGGCAGTTCCTGGCAAGCACCTGTCCTCGGTCAGTAATGGAAGCCTGGAAACTCTGGTTTTGATGTCAGTGAAGGAACCATCAGCAACAGCATAAACTAACTCAGTGGCAGGAACGAAGGTCATGCCCCTTTGTATCCCAGTTGCTTCCTGACCCACATTTGGGGTGGGTCTTCCCACCTCAGTTAAAGCAGTCTGAGCACTGAGGCAAGTTTAATTTATTTTAAGTTGATATTACAGCCAGCCATTGCAATGGACAAAAGCTGAAGTCTGTCTGAGAATATAATTTATTTTACAAGAGCCTTCCTGGGTAAAATAATTCCTTTCTGGGCAGTTAATCCCCAAATCTTCATTTCTCTAATTTGATGAGGCACAGGCCTCTTTTAAGTTTAAGACCAATGAAGTGCTCAGTTCTCATCACTCGGGGAACAGGAAAGCTGTCAGTGTTTCCTTCCTCTCACAGGTGCCACTTTTTACAGAGAAAACCGTATTCCTTAAGCAAACAAACAAAAAGTTCCACACATTTCTTGGGCTGGAGAGATGGCTCAGGCATTAAGTGTACGCTCTTTTAAAGGATCCAGGTTTGATTCCCAGCACCCACATGGCAGCTCACAGCAGTTTGTAACTCCAATCCCAGGAGATCCAGCAGCCCTTTCTGCCAGACACTCTCTATTTCTGGAACCCTGGAAATGATCTTTTTGCCATTACTCCACTGTTCTCCATTTTATGTACCGAGGCAGGGTATCTTCCTGAATCCAGAACTTCCCCATCTAGGTTGCCCCAGAAATATCTCTTGTCTGCTTAAGGAACAGAGGTCGCAGGCAGGCTGCCATATCTGCCGGGCTTTTTAATGTGAGTGATGGGGATCTGAACCCGGGTTCTCATGCTTACTCAGCAAGTGTTTTATTCACCGAGCCATCTTGTAAAGTATGGGCAGCTCCTCTATAAGGATCAAAGCAGCAATACTGAGAATAAGAGATACTTACGCGTGGCTGATGCTAGAATGAACCGCCTCCCACTTCAGTTGAGAACATTGCCTACCTCTTAGAAATTACATGCTAGTCTTTATTTCTCCACAAACAGGTGGTAAATATTTGTGATTTTCTTTCTTTGAATTAGTTCAATCTGTTGTAATAAATTGAGTTTCAATGTTTTGTAGAGCTTTTGAAGACTAATTGGAGAGGTGAAGTTTGGTGGAATTAGAAGCATATTAAGTTAAATGTACTCAAATATTTCTTTCTACTTATAAGTACTTATTCAAAATAATTACTTTCATCCTCTGTTTCCAGGGAGAGAAACTTTTCTTTGTGCACATCATTGTCCTTGAATAGAAATAGGCTTTCCTAGGCTAGCTACTATGCCCTGTTGTTGTTTCTCTGTGTTTAGAGAAACATATATTTGGATATGTCATTACTGGATAAAGCCTCCATTCTGCTGTGTTTAAGAAATATCCTGACAATGAAAATTGGTGCAATCAGTCCAGTTTGGCCATGGGATTGTGAACTTGCAAGGCAGTCCCAAGAAAGGGAAGTTAGACTCCTTACATCTGTACAATCCCTCACAGCTTCATTCTTTCATCTGGAAAAAAAATTCCAGTTGCCCCCATGCTTGAGGTCATTATAATGCTCATTGTGGGGTCTGGTGAGATGGTTCAGTGATGGGAGATGTCATTCTGTAAATATGTTTCTCATATTGGTTAATGAATAAACTACTGTTGGCCAATAGGAAAGCAAGATAGGCAGGGTTAGGAGATAAGGAGGATTCAGGGAGAGGTAGGAGGAGATTCAACATGTAAAGACTTGAGAGGGCAGAGGTCCGGACCCTCTCTCAGGTAAGATAAGACCACATGGAAATACTTAGATTGATAGAAATGGGTTAATATTTAAGGCAGAGCTAGCCAATAAGAAACGCTAGTAACAGGGCAACAGCTTCATATCTAATACAGCATCTCTGGTGTTATTTGGGACTGACGTGGCCGTGGGACCAGGCTGGCAGAAAAACTACTCATAACAGTTCAGTGACTAAAGATGCTTGCTGCTAAGCTTGACAAACTGAGTTCAATCCCTGGGACATACATGGTAGAAGGAGAGACCCAAGTCTGTCACTCGTCCCCTAGCCTCCTTGTGTGTACGGTGGCACATGACTGCATGAGTGCACAATGTGCTATGTACCTTCAGACACATGCGTGCGCGCATGTGCACACACACACACACACACATGAAACTTATAAATGGTCTATTTTGTGTACCCATTTTTCTTGTCAAAATGAAACTGACTATCCACCTAAGATACTGAATTTGAAAAAAAAAATCATAGCTTTTACTTTTCTTTTTGTTTATGTCATATTTAGGGTATATAAAGCTGCATTTCAGGTTTCTATATCACATAGGGCAGTAGGTGGAGAGTGTTTTCCTCTTGTTTGTATAATTAGCAACAAAAGGCAGATCCAACATCATGATTGTTGCAGCCTTATCTGTCCTTTGTTATGCATTAAAATACTGGATTTCCAGCTCCCCAGTTCCTTAGGGATTTATTTTGAGAAGCAATCTAAATTTTTGTGTTTCATATATTATATTATTACATTTTGCCTGACTGTAAATCTGTGTACTCATGTGTATGTCTGGTGCCTGAAGAGGCCAGATACCCTGGAGCTTGACTGACAGATGGCTGTGAGCTACTCTTTGGGTGATTGGAGTCAGATCTAGGTCCTCTGGAAGAGCAGCCAGTGTTCTTAACCATAGAGCCATTTCTCTAGCTCCAAACACTCCATTTTGATCTTTGTGTCAAAGGCTTTCAATGTTCATAAGGTGGATGCCAAGAGGGTACAATTTAAAGGAAAGGGATTTCCTTTGAGGTTGTTGGGAGAAAGGCTGAAACCTACAGCTTGGGATATAGAGAGGGATCTGTTTCCAATGAGATGCTTTGCCATTGATGCATTCTGCTCATTGAGTATGTTCTCTCTGTTAGCTTTAGATGAAATTTATCTTTTCATTTTCAAATACTGTAGCTCTAGAAACATCGTTCTGAGTTGATCACAGGTGCTGTATGACGTGGCCTATCACGGGCAGGATGGTGAATTTTGTGGACTCTTGCTCTAGGAGATGAAATGATTTCCCATATCTTCCTCACAAAATTACTTAAAACATAGTCCTTAAGCATGATCAGCTGGTAACACAGCAGGACACTTGTAAAAACGATTACTCAGTATTGCTTTGCTCACAGTCTTTGCTGAGATGAATATAGTTGATCTTAACTGTTCCTATTAACCTTGTAACCAAATCTGCCACACCAAAGGCTTTGTTTCATTTTCTTAGGAATTGTATTTTGTGGCCATGTCTACAAAAGAAATCCTATGGTGCTCCTATGACGATTGAGCCCATAAGTTTTATTACATAGAAGAAATTTGACTGTTCTAGCATTTCCAGAAAGGATGGAATTGTGCCTCTAAACTTGGAATTTTTGTGGGTGTGGTACTACATACCTTTAATACCAGTGCTCTCGAGACAGAGGCAAGTAGATCTCTGTGAGTTCCAGGCTACCTGGTGTACATAAGGAGTTCTGGGCCAATACACACACACACACACACACACACACACACACACACACACACACATATATATATATATGAATTCCTTAATCAGGAATAAGATAATCTGGGGACACTTCGTGAGTACCCCAGTTTTCCTTGTGTGCATGCGCCTCTCTCTCTCTCTCTCTCTCTGTGTGTGTGTGTGCGTGTGCTCAAATGTGCCTGTGTGTGCATGAAGGCCAGAGCCAGGACTTCAGTGTCCTGATCTACTACTCACTGTTTGACCCATTTTTTGAGACAGGGCTTCTTACCAAAGCTGTAGTGAGGCTGGCAGCCAGGGAGACTAGCCATCCACCTATGTCTGCTCCTCACAGTGCTGTTACATGGCCAATACCCAACCTTTTCTGTGGGTGCTGAGTTGAAACTCAGGTTCTCATGCATGTACAGTAAGTGCTCACCTAATTAGCCATCTCACCAGCTCCTTAGTTTCCTTTTAAGCAGTAATAGGATATCTGAAGCATTGTGGGTTTAGTAAAATACACAAGAGAAGACTTAGAGATAAGTGGTGACCACACTAAATGTTTGCTACTATCGCAGAAAGTTACTCCAAATCAGAAATGGACATAAAATGTAAGTATAGCATCCTTGGTTTAGATACAAATCCCTTTGATTTCAAGGGGAGCCATTCACTTCTATGTGAGTAGAATTCAATACTAAATCTCTTCAGTTGGCTCAACAATTTAGGTGTTCAGCTATATTTATGTGCCACTCTACCCACCAAATAGCTCCTAGAATAAATGTATTTTATGCCTTGAATCATCAGGCCTATTAAAACTGCCCTTTAATTTTCTATATAAATATTCCTATGTAGTTGGCTGGGTACAAAAACTCCTAGCCATCCAGAAGACCTCTAATCGGAAGCTTATTAATTTGTCTTGTCTCTGATAGATGACTTTAAACTGGAGAAGGATCTTTTTAAACTTCCATTGTTCCCCAAACATGAGTCTAAGGAGCAGGAGGTGGGAAGTCCAAAAAGCAAGGAAGAGATTGAGGAAGACACCCAGTGTCAACCTCTGGCTTATACAACACATACATACACACACCCATACACACACTCACACACACACATATGCTCACACACACACATACACACACCCATAGACACACTCACTCTTACACACACACTCACTCACACACCCATACACACATGCGCACGCGCACACATACACACACCCTAGACACACTCACACATACACACACACACACACATCTATCAACTTGTGCTCACTTCAGCAGCACATATACTAAAATTGGAGTAATACAGAAAATATGAGCATGGCCCTGAGCAAGAATAAGACAAATTCATAATGCACTACAAGTCCTGTTATCAAAACGGAGAGTTCAGCTGAGCTTCAAGTTGAAGATAGTTGACAGATAGTTGAAAAGGAGTTATAATGCTTCAGGTTAATATGTGTGTGTGTGTGTGTGTGTGTGTGTGTGTGCACGCACGCGCACAAGCATTTGAGACAGGGTCTCATATAGCCCTAGCTAGCTTCAAACTTGCTGTATAATCTATGCTGGCCCAGACTTTTGTGCTGTCCATATTACTGAACCTAGAGCTCACTGATTAGGTTAGGCCGGCTGGCCAATGAATTTTGTTGATCTTCCTTTTTCTGTCCCCCTAGTATCAGGGTTACTGGTACCCTTAACATAGGTGCTGGGAATCTGCACTTTGGTCCACATACTCGTGCACCAGTCACTTTACCACCCTAGCTATCTCTCTATCCCTTAATGTATTTCCTAAAATTATAATCATGTTGAGCTAGATGTGGTGACATATTCCTGTACTCCTACCTCTTGAGAGGTTGAGGTAGGAAAATCCGGAGTTTGAGGATATAGAGCAAGGCCCTGTTCCCACAAAGAAATCATAAGTGCAGCAATTCACTACTATTATTTATCTTCTCAGTTAGAAGCCAGAGGTTGCTCATTTTACTCCCAGTAAATTCTCAGTCTGGCAGAATGTGTATAGTTGGTGCCCAGTATTATTTGACCACATCCTATGTGGCCAGGCCATTGTGAGATCCAGATATCCTGTGGTTGTACCTACCTTCTGTTCTGAAAGAAATGTCACTAAGGATTTACTGGGAAAAGGAAACACTCTACTGAATCGGAGGGAATTTGGTGCAGACTGTTTGTCGTGCAGGAGTCACAAATGAGAAAGGCCCAAAGAATATATTAAGGCAGGGTTCTTTTGTTAATAGATGCCTATGCCAGATTAACTTTCTACCAAGCTCTTTGGGATTCCTTTCATCTCTGACTCTCACGTCCCCATATGAAAGATGGCATTACAGACTCATTGCTACCACACATGACTTTACATGGCTTCTGGGGATCTGAATTCAGTTCATGATGCTTGCTGGGCAAGTGCTTTGTCCATTGAGCCATCTTCCCTGCCCAAGAGCTAAGCTTTTGATGGTGTGATTTGGAAAGTATCTCCACCCACACAGTTCTAGGCTGACTCTTTCCACTAGGGATCCCCCCGCCACCTTGTGTTTAATGATTCATTGGTAATAGTTTAATTTTGTTAAAAAATAAACACAAGCTACAATTTAATACATATTATTGTTACCGTTCCTAGGCTCTTTGGTGTAGTCAAATACTCACTCTGTCTGCACCTATTGCACTGACCACGCCTATTGGGGGTGGGGACAGGGGCTGATGTGACTTGGGGGAACTAGGTCTGGGGAAGGGGCCTCAGAGCTCTCTCTTGCTTGCTGGATGGAGATAGAGAGCATCTGGAGGCATCCTTGGGACCAGGAACCTGCTGGCGTTCATCTGTCTCTATTGTAAGTTATTTCTCCCTGAATAAGCATCTATCTAGCCTGTTTTCCCCCGATCCTTATTATTCCATGATACTTTGGCTGGGGTATTTGCTTTGATCTTTACAGTAACTCAAACTATTGAGGTAAGGGTGTAGTGCTATCATCATTGGTCCAGACATAATAGAAATTATAGTGAGGATGCTGAGTTTCATGACTGGAAGATTACATAATGTTATCCTAGAACTAGATGTTTGGAGCAGTTGAGTTGAGTTCAGGAGTATCAGGGCCTGCTGTGAACTTGATTTCTCAAAGAAAACAATACTCTTGGTTCTCCATCTGGCTTTGATGAATGACAGATGTTTTCCATTCCTTCCCTACATTTTAAACTTTTGATTTCTTCATGATAACAATACCTGAGTTTCCCTCATCACATCTGTCTGCTTGCTAATGTGCGTGTTTTCCCTTTCATCAGCACTTGGATGTGAGATGAAGTTTAGATAATGGATGCCAGCTCACTTCCAGTTGTTTCCTGATGGGCTTTAGATAGCATAGTGCAGCACACATCTCCAATGAGGAGAGGCCTGAACTCTCTGCAGTTCATTGGTCCCATATGGATCCAAGCAGCTGGAAGGATGGATGTGCTACCCGAGGCCAGCTATTGCGTCGCCAACCGTGACTCCCACTTGCTGACCCTCGTATAATGCTTTGTACTGGAAGGGATGTTGATCACACCTTCCTGTTTGTGATGGATGGTGTTGTTTAAAACTGATGGTCTTGTAAACCATCATTGAGTTTCTGTGTCTCACAGATGTGAGGGAGGCGGATAGTCAATAAATAATGCCATGTTCTTCAGGGATGCACACTGCTCTCCACCTTGTGGACCAGATTGTCTTGTCAACAGACAGGTGCGTAGTTTGCTTGGACTGGGAAAGAAAAGGCTTCCAGAAAAAAAATGTTTCTGGCTGGGAATATTCTAGGCAAAAATATTTCTTTTTATATTTTTATTACTTGTCTATTATTAATGAAGTGTGTGTGTGTGTGTGTGTGTGTGTGTGTGTGTGTGGTGTGCAGATGCATGTGTAGCATGCCTTAACACGTGTAGAATTCAGAGGACAACTTTCAGGAATAAGTTCTTACTTTCTACTCTGTTTTTGAGGCAATGTCTCTCTTACTGTTCCTGCCCCCACTGAGGTGTGTACTCACTCCAGGCTCTCTGGTCCATGGGGATTCGTGGCTTTATTTTAGCTCTCACTGCAGGAATGGAAGGAGTGCTGGCATTACAGGTGCACACTATTGCATCTGGGCCGTTATATGGGCTCCAGGCATCATGCTCAGGTCATCAGGCTTGTGCTGCAGCAAGTGCTTACTTGCTGAGCCATTTCACTGGCTGCATGAATGTGTTTCTTAGTGGTGCTGTGTTTAGGGATGGCTCTGCATGGATTGTGTGATCCCTGGATGGGCTCTTGGAAGCATCTGCACTCCCCACTGTTTAACCTGTAGGTAGCAGAATGATGGTGAGGCCTGGGGGATGATAGATGTTCTACTGATTTGGATAAACTATTCTGACTCTGCTGGGGGGGTATTCTACTTTACAAAAGGTGAGGTTTCTTCTTGTGCAAGATTAGGTGAACCAGCATACAGTTGCCTAGAATGACTGTCACGATACCATCCAACTCTTACACCAAGCACATCAATCCCAAGCCCTGAATCAGTGCTCCCTGAACAACCTCTGGCTTCAGCTCGGCTTTTGCTCTGGAGTAGCTGTCTCATCTTCTGAGGTAGGAGAATGTGTGTGTGTCCTAGTCACACTTTATGCAGTTCTTTCTTTAGTCTCCTCTCCTCAAATAAATGTTAACTTTCCTGTGTGGGTAGAGCCACATTTTCCCTGGTATTTTTAAATGTTCTGTAGTACAGTGTTAGAGCTATACTTAACACCATTTCTTTCCAAGTGACTCTAGTACACTGAATTACCCAATTCCAGAGGTGCCTCGAACACCATGGAGTAGTGTATTTTGAGTACAGTGGATCACGTCTTTGAAACAGTTGGTCCCCAGTTGGTGGTTCTGTTTAAGAAGGTTGTGTATCCTTTAGGAGGTGGAGTCTTCCTGGAGGAAGTGGGTCATTAGAGGTGGGCCTTGGGACTCTATAGCCTCATACTACTTCTTGTTCATTTTCTGCCTGCTTCCTAACTCTGGATAGAATTATGGTTGGCAATCTTTGGCCGCTGCCTCCTGGCCTTCCCTCCCATGATAGACTGTACATCAAACTGTGAGTCAGAATAAACCTTCAACTAGCACATTCATTAAATTGCAACCTTCTCCAGGATTTGTTTTTGTGTTATGTTGCCTCTATCTTCAATGTATCTAAGGGCATTTGGCACATTCTCCATATTAGGGAAATATGCACTAGTTTGTGTCCATCTCCTCTGGCCTCTTTCTTTCCCACACTATGATTAGCTAGATCTTGTGTGCTGCTGTGATACTTGGCTCAGAACTATAACCCATGGAGCCTGGTTTGTCTTTGATTTTTTGTCCCTTGTCACTTTTGTACTGGTTAGGCTTTGGTCATCAGGCTTCGGCATGCATGCCATTTTTAACAGAACCCTTCTCTGTGTGTCTTATTTTGGTTTTCATATTCTTAATTTCCAGGAACTCCAAATACTTCTGTTTTTCTTCATTGTTTGCTCGTTTGAGCCAGAGGCCAACCTACCTTTGAACTTGCAATCCTCCAGTCTGTATCCTGAGCACTGGGATAACAGCCTGCACCACTATACCCATATTTTTATGTCTCTGATGTCCTGAATCTCCCTGAAGAGGCAAACTATTTTTTTTTTTAAGTTTTCCCCTTCCTTTTCATGCATTAATCTGTTCCTTCTGACTGGAGCATTATACAGAAATAAATTGGGTTCATGCTGCACTATTACCAAGCCATATGATAAGAACCTCTCTGTGAGTCCCACTCTTAATTACACTAAGCGCCACCCCTGGGGAGACATGTTCACCTCAGGTGAATGTAGCTGCCCAATTGCTCTGAAATATAATGACTCTGAGATTACTCACTGTTTTTTAATAGAAAAAAGAACATCGGAATGGGTAATTTTGAACCTACTGAGAGCTGATCTATCCCTGTAGGATGTGAGTTTTTTGAAGGCTGACAGTCATGTTTTTTTCCCATGATGTATCTGCAGCACTTTACCCATAATTGCTACCTAACTAATAATATTCATTAAATAAAAGAATGAACCGAGGTATGCAATTCCAGATTTGGCATAGATTGCCACTTGATTTGTATCTAAGTCAGGATCCAAAGAAAACTGTAATATTATAGTCAAGAAAGAACATTTTTACTCTATTTTTCATTATTTATTACCTCATATAGAGATGAATTTGAGGGGGAGAGCCAGTGGACATTTCTGACACAGAAGGATCCTGGGCACTTTTGATGACCAGAGACAGTAGAGCCCCCTTTCTCTGTCCATTCTGGAGATAAGAGGGAGGGTAGGGTGCTTCGATTCCTCAGTATTAACTACTTTCCTTATTCATCTAGTAGCCTACATGGAGGAAGG